AGCACTACTGATGCAATTTTTGCTCTGAGAATGTTAATGGAGAAGTATAGAGATGGTCGGAAGGAGCTGCATTGTGTCTTTGTGGATTTAGAGAAAGCATACGACAGAATGCCAACAGAGGAGCTATGGTACTGTATGAGGATGTCAGGAGTGGCAGAGAAGTACGTCAGAGTAGTTCAGGATATGTATGAGAGGAGTAGTGAGATGTGCTGTAGGTCAGACAGAGGAGTTCAAGGTGGAGGTGGGGCTACATCAAGGATCGGCTTTGAGTCCCTTCTTGTTTGCTATGGTGATGGACAGGTTGACAGATGAGGTCAGACAGGAATCTTCGTGGACAATGATGTTTGCGGATGACATTGTGATCTGTAGTGAGAGCAGAGAGCAGGTGGAGGAACACCTGGAAAGGTGGAGGTCTGCTCTGGAAAGAAGAGGAATGAAAGTCAGTCATAGTAAGACAGAATACATGTGAATGAACGAGAGGGAGGGAAGTGGAACAGTGAGGTTACAGGGGGCTGAGGTCAAGAAGGTGCAGGAGTTTAAGTATTTGGGGTCAACAGTCCAGTGTGATGGGGAGTGTAGGAAAGAGGTGAAGAGGCGAGTGTAGGCAGGTTGGAGTGGGTGGAGAAAGGTGTCGGGACTGTTGTGTGACAGAAGAGTGGCAGTAAGAATCAAAAACTATGTTTGTGAGAGCAGGATGCAAAAATTTGCTCACCAGTGGCCACATCCAGCTGAATTAGTGTCTGTGATGTTGCAGGTAAATTGTTTTTGATCTTAATGAGACTTAAAAATAATATTAACCATAATATTAAACAGCAATACAGTAACAGTAAACAGGCATGTGTGGTTGTTAGTTGTGAATCATTGCTGCACAGTGGAATGGTGCACCTACACTTCTGTGTAAGGTACACTTTCCTACAAATCGTTAATTGGACAATAAACCTTAGAGCAATACCTGTAAATATTCATTGTACAGATTATACAGACTCATGCAGGTCTCTAGTACTCTGTTTTAAGTACTCAATTTTTATCCCTATTTATCTCATTTCAAAGAACATTCCTTTGTTGTCTGCGTTGTTTCCTGTCTGTTTATACTGCTTATTCTGCATTGTTTGCATGGTTATTGATGTTAATACTGCTGTTTTGTTATATTACTCAGCCTTATGCTGGTCTACTGTTGGCACATTGATGCCGATGTACCACAGTCAAATTCCTCGTGTGTCCAACACACCTGGCCAATAAAGCTGATTCTGATTCTGATTAATAGCTACATGACAGTTTGGCTTTGCCTCCGTCACTTAGAGAGCCCATATTTGTCTAGCATTACCACAAGGCTTGAAGCGTCACAGAGTTTATCAGCTCTGGAAATGGCTTCAGTGCCCAAACGTTTCCTGATGCCACACTTAGATTCTTTTTATGATGTGTGCTACGAGCTTCTGTAAAATGGGTCGGTTCTTTTACAGTACAGGAACGTAGGAGAAATGAGAGGAAGTACTAGGAATAAGACAGAAGAAGATGTGATATCAAGACTGAGATGTGGGCATACTAGTTTGAGAAGTACATTGAAGTTGATAAAGAAGCATAATACAGGGGAATGTGAGTTGTGTAGGGTACAGGAAACGGTGGAACATGTCATGGTTTGTCTCAGGTGGAATGAACTTTAGTAGGGATATAAGACACAGAGCACTTCTTAGGTTTTTAGAGAGTAAAGGACTGAGCAAAGCATTATAATGTGAACTGAGTGAGGTTATTTTATTATAATAGTAGTAGTAGACCGTGCTGATCAACACTCCAGTGTGGAAGGTGACAGTAATGCACCTAAAGCTGTTTGCCAACCGCCATTAAACAATAGAAAAAAAGAAAGAAAGAAAGAAAGAAAGAAAGAAAGAAAGAAGTCTCTGTATTGCTACAGTTTTCCTTCCAAGCCGTCAGGTGTCAGTAACGGGCTGAGAAACATTTTCACATTAGAGAAGAAGCTGTGTGTCCTTCACAACAGCAAACATGGCGACTGCTACAAAAATCATTCAGAGGCTGCGAAATTTTCTAACAGGGGTGAGCAACAAAACTATGGACAAACTTTAAAGTGGAATCATTGTAAGGATAATATGAGCCTGTTTCCGTAGTACACTTTGGAACAGGGATAGTTTAAAGGTTTTAGCTAGCGTTAAAGAGCTAGCTGTAAGACTGTGAACTACAAGAATGCAAATGAGATAATCAATTCGGTGGTATTTTTCAGCGTGACCTGCAAGCCAAATTGCAGCTGCGATATGAGGAGATTTCAAAGAGGTAAGACTTCCACCATGTCATCCTGTGAAAAATTCAGGTGGGTTAACTGAGCTTCCCTATATTGCTGATAAACACAGACGCATTTACACATAGAACCTTATTAATACTGATAATTAAGTAGCGTGTTGATAATTTGTTATACCACTGCCACACATAGTGATGGGCAGTCGAGGCTTTGTTGAAGCTTCGACATAGCGTTCACACAAATGGTTCATTACTCGAGGCTTCAATGACACAGTGCTCAAGTAGGACATCTAGTGGTCAAGAAAATGAAGTGCAAACAAGATGTGTCACTTATTGGTTCATGGATTGTTTGGGATTTGATTCACCATGCACATTCCTGTTCGACTACACTACATGGTTGTATGGTTTCAAGCTGGCACAATAAAATAAACATGGACACATGTTGAAGACCATGTTTCTTATGTGGCACGTCTGAGTGTAACCCTATATGCTCTTCACTTATATTTTGTGTTAAACATTGAAATGGTGCTGCTACATTCATGAGATGTGTTCTACAAATTCAGACAGATGTCATTTGTACAAAGTTTGTTTTGGGGTTCACTGGTAAAGAGGTTCATGGGTATGTGAGTAAAGAGGGTGTGCTTGTTTGTGTAACTGTTTATGAGTTTTTATTGAAAAATAACAGTAAATCCACAGTGTTCGGACACAAGCAGTTTCTCCATTTACAGACCATTTCCCCAGCCTTGGAAAAACCTGTTCACATGGCACAGATGAGGCTGGGGTACACAGGAAATGCTTGGATAATTCATAGAGGTTTGGGTAAACAGTTTTATGGGTGGCCCAGTATGTGAGGGGGGTCATCAGTTCTTTCCAGGGGAGGATCAGCCCGTTTCTCTTCCACAATTGCATTAGCTGTGGCGCTTTGCATGTGCCTGGCTCTGTGTGCATTTTGATCCAAAAGTCTCCACCTGAAAAATATCATCATCACCAGAAATGTCACTAGTCATGCCTTATTCAGAATCAAATAAAAATGAAATACCTGTGGAGGCTGCTGCTGGTGCTGGAGGATGAGTTTTCCAGTCTAAATACAAGTGAAATTAAAACAACGCTCATACTTACCTTATTATCTGGCAGCAATTGGAAATCACCCCAAACTAGTATTAGAGCTGAATCCTGACAGTCCATCAGGAGACTGCTGTCACTTGTGTCAGTATGTTGTAGAAAAAAAAACCCTTCGCTGTGTCAAGCGCCAACCCCCGAGGCGGAGAAGTGAAGCTAATGCTTAAGTGCCAAAACCTACAGTTCTTCGAACGGTCGCTTTTGGCTGGCTCCCAAATTGCCCAGCTTTACATCAGAAATAAACATGCTTGTAGCCTGGCACAAACAACAAGCTTCAGAAAACCCACTGAATGATGGTGGCTTTATCCAGTTTTTATATACAGTCAATGGGCTGTGCTGACAATTGGTTGATCTGATGTTTGATCAGTCAAGTTAGAGTTTAGGGCTCCAAAGTTGTATGTATGCACTCTCAGTTTTGCTATCCACAACCACACAATCTAATCAAATCCCCCTGTTTAGGTTTTTCAGCATAAATCCACTCTAAAGAACCACTGGCATCCAATAAGACTTTAAAGTCATCCGTTGGTTACTCAAACTGATCATCCTGAATCCTATTCATCATCTCACCAGTCCCTAAATAACATGCAGCTTTCTTGTTTTGTCTCAAAGGCTGCTAAGTTTAGGACCTGACAGTCCTAGAAAAGATGCAGAATTTGTATAGAGCCAGAGAGAAAGTATTGTCACTGCCACAACTTAGAACTCAAATCCATCCACAGCTTTTATAAGTGGACCGTTTTTCACAGTAACTTCTGTTCACATTGTTTTTCCCTATAGGACACAGCCACCACCCAAACTGCCAGTAGGGCCGAGCCACAAGTTCGCCAGTAACTATTACTACACCAGAGATGGACGTAGAGAGTCTGTACCAGCCACAGTGGTCATGTCTTCACAGAAGGCCCTCACTGCTGGGAGGTAAATGACAATCTATCATCAACATCATACTTTAGTCTAATTAACATTGCAAGCAAACATGATGAACGGGGCTGAAATCTTCATATGTTGTTCCTGTTTTCTGGAAATGACCACACAGGTTATATAATCACAGAGTGAGCCACATACTTGTAGGTGCAGGAAAATGTGTTTGTGCTAAGCACATGCATTTAGCTAAGCTGTTACTTATGTAAAAAGTCAACTGTTGGGAAAACATTGGGAAAAAAAAAATCTAAATGAAGACTGAGACCAACATCTGGCCTACTGCCAGTGAAAATTTCCATTTGTAGTTTTTAACTGAATTTGTGGTTTGATCTCTTCTAGCCAGGTCGCTAAAGCCCCAAGCCTTCCAGTGACCCCAGGAGCTGTATATAAAGAGCCACCACTGTCCACAGACCAGCCATACCTCTGAGCAGTGGCACAAACCCTTTCAGCATCAACAACATTACTCAAACGTGCTGTGGATGCCTGACCGTTGTTGGCACCGGTTGGATCATGTACCATGGAAATTGTTAATAAAATGTGCTGTATTGTTTGATTTTTGCTGCTATGTGAATAATAGTTTGAACGTACTGGGTGCTAATGTTGCAACAGCAAATCCATTTTTAATGTAAAAAGAATAACAAACACAGGTACAGTAACTGACTAGAGTCCAACATAACGACAAACAGCCTGTTTGTGGTAAAAAAAAAAAAGATGTGGACACCATCTCCCAGCAGCTCAGCTTTTGATAATGAATCAGAACCTCTGCAGAGATGGCATTTGGATCACACTGAGCTTGAAAATCCATTCCTTGAGCTAGATTGTGTGAAATCATGATTGGACTAAATAAAACCCATTTTGGCCTGGTGTCTGGGCACTTTGGAGCAGTATTCACACTGGTATAAGCTGTTCACTTTGTGTTCAAAAGTATAGACCTCATGTTTAAAATTAAAGAATAGCTGATGAAGATCGGCGTCATCTCGCCGCCTCATGTGCATGCTGTACGTTTAACTAAACGAGTTTCCCCGCCCTTCCCGCTGCGTAACAAGCGGCACACCAGCACGGGAAAAACGAACACAGCATGATTATCGGTGGCGGAAAGGATGGGTGGTTAATGTTGGGCTGTTCATTTGGCATTTAATAAATAGCCTATAACATATCTGATGCTCTTGTCACACAGTCCAAATAATTGTTTTATAGGCATTCAACAAAAAAGTGAACCTGAGGCAGGAAGGGAAAGTGTGGAGAAAGATGTCTACGCACAGACCTTTATGGAGACAGGTGTGTAACCACCAGCTATCCATTACTACTGGCAGCAGGCAGTGGAATAGTGGGCTAAGCAATAAACATTCAAGAAAAAAAATTGTGATGTGATTTGTGAGGGCCCTGTGCCCCAGTAGAGCGTTGTCTCGCAACGCCCCCGTACCTGGGTGTAATCCTAGAATGTAGTTACTTTGACTTTCGTCTTTATCCATAAATGTGATTGGAAACACCTGTGCAGACATTTAAACATCAATTCGATCACCTTCCGCAAGGGTCAAGATGGTGAACGATTTACAATTAAGCAACACATTAGAAATGAACACCAGAAGCAACAATTTTATTTGTAAAACTACATAGTGTAAAAAAACAAAAAAACAACAAAAAAACAAAAAAAAAACAAAACAACAACATATGCATATATGGACTATTTCTCTGTACCTGAAGTTTGACAGGACCTGGTATTGCGTCATATTTCCGCGCCACGTGCTTCGTACCCGTGGAGGACATCGAGCATGGGGCATGTTGGAGGTGTATTTCTTCTGCTCGCACATTTGATCTTGCATCATATTTGGGGTAAAATACTGGAAATACCCGTGCATTTGTGTGAAAGTGACGATCTGCTTGTGTTCGGTGTTATTTCCGTGGCATGGAGGGAGGGACTGAAAGCTTTCTGTCCGGCTGTCAGTTTGAATGAACTGAAACGTATGCACGAAACTTGGCGATAGAAAGCTAGAAAGAGAAAAAATCAGGGGGTAGTCTTCAGATGTCAGCTGCCTCCTTTACAGTGCATTGATATATATTTGCAAGTGGCTGAGTAAAAATTGTTTTTGGCACAAGGTTTTCAAATATTTGCATTATATGTCTACATTTAACTTGACGTTATTTGCAGTGATTTGTAAGTGAAACCTGCAGTTCTCAAATACAGTAAAAAGTGCATTATCAGTGTAATTTTCTAAGCCTAATGGACCCCCAATTTAATCATTAAGTTTCTGAGTAACATGATGATTTTTGATGCTCATTTTTGTTCATTCTAATATTTTATAAAGTGCAACATCATTGTTGGGGATAAAACAATATCTTGGACTCAGTGTCCCAAACTATGGAATTTAGTTATACCATAAGTTGTCGCGATTTTTCAGACTTCTTATTTTATTGATTGACATCCTACAGACTAACTGTAAACTGTCTGCATGTTTCAGATGCTACAAGTGGCTCTTTGCCCACCTGCCACCAGACGCTGGAGTTCAGGTGCAGTGATGGTTCATGCATCCCAAGGCTGAGTGTTTGTGACGGACACGCAGACTGTGAAGACGATTCAGATGAACACCACTGTAGTGAGTACTATGCTGACAAAGTGATTTCATTTCACACACACCATGCACACACTTCAACAAGGTAATTCAAGGTTCCTCATATAAGACTTTAAAAGGCATTGAGACAAGAACTTTAAAAATCTATTAAAATAAATACATTTATTTTTAAATGAAAATAAAGCTGAAGATAAAATGTTAAAAATTACATTGCAGTTTCATTGTAGAGCATGATATGAAAGGATAGTCAAAATTTAATTTAATTAAGGGGGAGCAAATGGAAAAATAATGTAAAATAACAGTGTTGGAGCAGATGCCAGGTTTTCTGGGTGTTTGTTCCAGATATGTGTTGCATAAAAACTGAATGCTGTTTCTCCATAATTATTAAGAAAGACAAGAAATAAAACCTCAGTGATCCATTAACTAAAAGGATTTTATAAGTAAATCTTTAGTTGCTACAGAAAAGCAGATAATTACTTTAACATTAAAGTAAGTGCAAGAATAAAACCATGCAGCCCAGGCACAAAGGTGGGAGTGTGAAAAGAAAACATGACTGTGAATACTTCTAATAACAGAAATACAAGTAGATGCATGGAGGCAGCACCATACCTAAAATGGACACATTATACCTAAAACACACACAGTGCCGTTATTAGGTTGACACTGACTGCTGATTGTACAGATCAAAGGTGAGCTGTGTGGGATTTTCCCAGTTTCTGCTCTGCTGGACTTTAACAGGTTCAGACAATAACTACAGTATGCCTTTGTCTTTGTGTGCCCTTTTACCTACTGTACAGTTGTTGTGTAATGGAGTTTTAGCTGATTGTGACTAACTTTAAGGCAGGGGTGTGTTTAACTCAGTTTCTGAACTGTTTTTTTTTTTTTCCAGAGCAAAAGGTCCTGAATCATAAATTTTGCCATATGTTTCCTAATAGAACTTGTATTTTAAGCCAAGTGTAGATGCTTGTTTTTAATCTGAATTCCATGATTCTGGGCCTACAGGAAACTGTGCAACGTAGACTTTGTGCTGCAAAGAAATTTTATTTTATGCTGCAGTGTGGGGAGGCTTCTTTTATGATTCAGTGGAAGTCATTAGAGGCTTTGATAATGAATTCCAAAAGGATTTAGTGTTCAGCAGTAACCACAGGCTACATGTTTGCAGTGGAAAACCTCTGCAGAATAAAATATTCTCAAAAGATCCACGATTTATGGGTTAAAAATAAACATGCCAGTAGATATGAATATTGGCAGTGTTGCTTAGAGGTCAGAGAAATGAGACTGAAAGTCACTGGTTGGACTGTAATTCCAGGAAACTGCAGAAAGTGAACAATATTTACTTTGTTCAACTCAGAAGTGCAGGGTTACGTTGCAGCAGCAGAACATGGCTGGACTGGAAGAAATTGGAAAAAGAGAAAAATCAATGAAAGAAGAAATGCTTTTCTCAGTCACAGAAAAATCACTCCACTAATAGTCCAGTAAAATATGTGTGTGACAGCTTTTCTGCCTCAAAGACTTCAGTCAGACACAGTGACCTCCTGGTGAAGAACCAGGTATTTACTCAGGAAATGGTAGAAACCAAAACAGAGCTGTGTAAATAAATGACTGCTTGTTAACAAGTTTGCTATGTCAACTTTTCAAGGTCACAATGTGTTAGTGTTTGTTGTGTTTCTGGCGTGTTGCACAGCCCCCAGTGGGGTAAAGAAAATGAACAAATCAACAAATGTAAGATGCACATATGACATGAGATCCTTGTCAAAAAGGCCTTTTTTAAAATTTAAATATGACTATTAATTTATCTGTAGTATCATTATTGTGCTTTTTATACTCAACTGCTGCAAATGATGATAGATGATAGAAGATAGAGTACATTATTTATCCCAGTAGAAAATTACAGTGTCTATCAGGCAGAGTTGCTTCGAAATGCAGCTAAAAGTGAAGACCAAAGACCGTCAGAATGGCACATTCATATTTTATTTCAACACTGTTAGTTAATCATAACAAATAAAATTCACTTTGTCCCATAATACTGAACTTTCTTTCCCTGATTTGCTAAAAACTGAAACGCTGCACTGACAGACTACTTCAGACAGTTGCTCTGATTTGTAACTCTGTCACTCTTCATAGGCTATGTTTGGTGTAAGAAAGAAGAATTTGCCTGCCGCAGCAGACGGTGCATATCTCTGCGTTATCTTTGTAATGGCATCGACGAGTGTGGTGACGGGAGTGACGAATCTTCCTGCCAGAACTGCACCACTGGGTTCTTCTCCTGTGGGCTGTCTGGCCCCTGCCTGCCTAGAAACAAGCTATGCGATGGGCAGACAGACTGCAAAGATGGCTGGGACGAGATGCGGGAGTTGTGTGGTTTGCTCCAACCTCACCCACAGATGTCTCCCACATGTAGAGCGTCAGAGTTTCAGTGTGGCGATGGGCAGTGCATCCGCCAGGTCTGGAGGTGTGACCACTCACGAGACTGTTCCGATGGCAGCGATGAGGACAACTGTGGTGAGTGATGTCATACGGCTGTGCTTACTTGGAAGAATGTTGAAATGGCCAAAAAAGGGTTATTACTGTGGTGCATTAATGTTCTCATGGCTGAATGGCAGCAGATTCTTGCAGTGAAAGCTTTTACAGCAGCAAAATAATTCCCCCAGTTTTCGAATGAGATGTTCAACAAGAACCTCAGAATGTTGTTGTAGTTTGTTACCCAACCAGAAGAGTTGTATAGTTCCACTTTATTCTGCACAGTGGCTTTTCAGAAAGTCTTCCAGTGTGTAGGAACAGGGACCCTTTAACTCCCCTAGTTTTCAGTTGAGTCATGGTCACTAATCATCATCATCATCATCAAACCAGTTTAGAACAAGCTCTCATTTTCAGCGATGCACTGACATACAATTAACACCATATATACAGATGGATCAAATAAAATCAGTTTTAAAAACCCAGTAACACAAGTCACACATTAAAACAATAATATACAGAAAATCAATATAAATAAAATCACAATAAAACACGGTATCCAGATCATATATAAAAGCTGTTTAAATTGAAAATATGGAATGAGAATAGCCAGTCTTGTCTTTTTCTGCAAAATATTCAATTTTTGTGGTCATAGTAGTGATGGGCAAATGATACCGAGGCTTTGGAGCTTGTGTCACTCGTCCTGAAGCGGAGTGATTCGAAACGCTGTGTCGGAGCTTGTATCAAAACACCAGTGTCACGTGGTGACACTGGTCATTCAAGTGTTTTGTTCATTATTTGGTATGAATGAACAAAACACTTGAATGACCACACAGACTTTTCTGAACTTTTATTGCTGTCATGGGATTGAAACAGTGCCAGTGCTTCAGTCGTGCTCTTTAGAGGCTGCTATGGCTTTAGTTGACCACCAGATGTCACCGTCACTGAAGTCTTGAAGCTTTGAATCGTTTTCGGCACAATTGTTAGGAAAGCCTCAGTACTTCATGAGGCTTCACTTGCCCACCACTAGGTCATAGTAATGGAAGAGACATCTTTCCACCTTCTGTATTGACAAAAGGGTTGCAGAACATGAAATGGCCTGTTATGTTAATGATTTATAACTCAGGAGGCATGTAATATATTCAGGCAAATGATTAAGAAGGGCTTTATAAATGAATAACAATATAATGATGCTCTCTTCCCAGTGTCAAAGATGGAAACCTATTTTCTGATATATTTCATAATGGCGAGTCCTAAAGGGATCTCCAGTAACAAATCTAATAGCAGCATGATACATTGAGTAAAATGGTTTCAGGGTTTTGTAAATTATATCACCATAATCTATAACAGATAAAATTGTTGCTACCAACTGCCTCCTGTGACAATCATTAAAACGAAAATCTTTTTCTAGAGAGAAATAAAAGTCTAGGCTTAAGCAAAGCAGTTAAACTCAGCTTGTCATTTAAACAGATGACAAGATATTTATATGTAGAGACTTTGTCAGTGACAGCACCGACCATTGCAGCTATATTTAAATTATCAATTTGACATGGCTTTTTTTTAAGTATCATTCATCAAATCCAATATGGGCAGGTTTTTGCCAGAGAATGTTGTGACCCACAGAGTCAGAAGCTTTGGATAAATCAATAAAAACGGCATCACTATCCAGTTTTCTCTCCTGTGCAGTATCACCAAAAATCTTTGAGGCTGCTGTCACAGTGCTATAACCAGGTCTAAAGCAAGACTGACATAGATTCAAATTACAATTACTAGTTAAAAAAAAAACTTTACCTAATTATTAACAGACCTCTCCAATGTTTTAGCCAGACAGGAGAGTTTAGATATAGGGCGAAAGTTATTGAGGGTCATTTGAGGTTATGCAGTGATACAACATAGGCAGTTTACCACAGAACAGGAATGCTTTCTGTGAATCAAGTCAAATTCAAAATGAGTAATGCATCCCACAGTAAGAGGTGCAGTCAACTGCAAAAGACCTGGATGCAGCTGATCTGCCCCAACAGCCTTTTTTGGGTCAGTAGAATAAAGAGTATTTAAGATTTCATTGGTATAAGGGCAAAACTAGGAGATACCGGATCTCTGGGTAGGTGCTGAGTTCCATCAGTATAATTTTGCATCAGAGTAGAGTTTTCAGATAAAAAAAACAACAGCAACAAAGTGCTTATTAAAGACATCACGCATCTAATGACAACAGAATCCTTAACCTGGTCGGTTAGGAATGAAGCCCAGTTGGATGATGCTGACATTTGATGAGGGCCTCACAGAGCTGCTGTAAACTCTTGGTCTTGTTAGTC